TTACCAGCTGAGTTCGAAACTCTGCATCTTTTCTAATTTTATTATCTAATAATTCTAATTGAAATATTTCTTCACCCGATGATAATGGGAATTTCACATGTTGAAGCAAATCTGGTTTGGCGTTGAGGACTGGTGCTTCTTTACGAGAATGATCCTGATTAGAAAGTAATCGGAAAATCTTGTCCAAGCTCCGGCTTATTTTTGAATAATTATCCTTAATCTGTTGTTTGATCTCTGTTTTGAATGTAGTAAACTCATTATTCAGCATACAAAACTCAGTTTTAAGATTACTTATTTCATTTATAACCATATTTTCGCCGAGATTTTGTGCTGCAGTCTCTGGAAACAAGATACACATTACAATATGATGTTAACATACCAAATAAATTATTAACCTTTATTTAAAATATTAATGCCAAAGGTCCCATTATCGTCCGGCTCTAAAGCTATTGGGCTATATACCACTTCCTAATTTGTGAATTACTAGGTTGAAGAGGTAAGCTATATTCAGCATTTATATTATCAACAAACAAACGATTTCTATCTGTTAACTTTTGAGTACTATATTTATTTTTATTCGTTCGCCTTTTTGTACGCGCCTGCTCCAAGAACAACCTGAAAAGGAATGATAATAAACGCTTTGACTATGTTACTTGGACCTGCAAATCGTTGAAAATACGAACGTTTCCTCTGACTCTGTGTCAATGCACTGTGTTAGCTGTTTTTCAATTGCCAAAGCGTGTCCAAATGTAAGAGTTCCCGAGAATTTAAGGACAGAGGAGTACTCCACCCATCCCTCTTCAGGTACGCTAGCAGCATCCGATCTCAAGTTTCCCCTTGGGGAATGGCTCAAATGTTCTGGCCACAACAGATCTCCATTATTTTCCCATTGATGGGGAACAACAGAGAAATAAATTCCTTTTTTTCCCACGTTGAAACAATTTTAAAAAAATCCATGCCTTCGAATAAAAAAAGCGTTACTAAAATCAGTGTTTTAATCGGTATATTTTTTATCAATAAGTCTGTACTTACCCTTTTTTTGTTATTTTTAATCCACAATAGCGCGAGCACGTGCACACAAGTGAAGTAACATTTTTGTTAGACAAAGATAGAAGTTAGAGTTCCACATGGAACTATGAAGTGGCAGCGGAAACTTTAAACATGAAATTTATGGTAGTGACTACTTTGCTGCGACTTTAACGCGACGCTATAGTGCCATTCGCTACCTTGCAGTAAACATTTATTTAAAGCCACACATTTTCAGTTGCCGTCACCATAGCCAAGTATAAATTACTTCGACGTTTCCTTTTTGGTGAGGGCGACTTCAAAGTTATTTTTATGCTAAAATACGCCACTTTTCTAGACAAGTTTTACGCCTACATTAAATAAATTAAATAAAATACAATAATTTACCATATTTTATGCACCAATTTAATGAAATTAAAGCATAATAATTATTTCAAGTAGTAAAGGACAACAAACAAAGCTTTTTACATCTACCATGCAATTTTATTGTATATTGTTATACATTTTCAAGACAATATTTTAATAAAATATGAAAATTTGAATGGCGCATCGTCAAATGTCGACCTATCACCATCATGTTTGACAATAAGTTTCCATGCGTTTTAGTTTTTGTACGCAGGCTATTCAAAAGGAAAAGATTATTATTGCCCTCATATTACACTATACTTTTAGGTTCTTAGAGAAAAACAAAGTTTTATTCATGTATGTATGCAATGAAACAAATACATATGTATAACAAAATAAATTGCAAGACAAAGCAATCAAATAAAATTAAAAGGAGAGGTGTCCTAAATGTTGCATCTACTACGTTGCGATATCGCTACTACGTAACCATAACGTCAATGGAACGTTTCCGCTTAGCGTATGGGAACGTCGCTTTAACGTAGCGGTTACCTAAAAATTATTCCCCATTTTGGAAGGTTCCTATTACGTGCCCATCACTAGTGGCAAGGCACTTTAAAGTTACAATAATAGTCGCATCTCCGTTCCAGCAACTATTTGTGCTAGTTGGGTTACTATAAGCACCTACCATTGATATGTTAACATACCAAATTTCAATTTTATGTAACTTATGGTTCCGCAGTTATGGCTGATTAAAAACTCTACGACTATGAGATGTGCCACACCCCCTCCAACAAAGTCATTTATATAAACCTTACTATAAGCATCTACCATAGATTTGTCTGCATACCAAATTTCAAGTTCATGTAACATATGGTTCCGAAGTTATAGCTGATTAAAAATTTGCAGCCCTATGGGAGGTGCCACGCCCCCTCGCAAAATTAACACGATATTTGCAACCAAAACCATGCCTATAACCTTCCCGGGGTAAAAGCAAATAAGTGTGCAAAGTTTCGTGCGGTTCCGGGTAGTAGTTCAAAAGTTATAAGATAATAAACAAACAGACATTCACATTTATATATATAGATTCCACGCTCAAAAATGTACTAAATCACAAAATTCTCTTATGAAACGCTAGTAAAATATATTATTTGAAAAACTTTTTCAAAACGTACATAAATTTTACAACAAAAGATTTTTTAATTCTAAGTTGATGGTCAATTTTGGTTACTTGATGTAAGGTGAACGGTTACACGGTTAACAATATAAACCCTCCACCTCCGAATTGTTAATACAGGAATAAATATGCGCCGATTGGTACCCTTCCTGACTATATTGGACGTTTTTTTTGCACGTTGTACCTTCAACTAGAGAATTACCGAGTTACTTTATGTACATACCAGCTGTACACACCAGCTGTGCACTAGGTAAACATTACACAAAAAATTATCAAAGGTGCAATAATGCCATAATGGCTTTATTTCACTTTCACAGTGAGAAATAAGACCATACGCAAAAATATGCCTTTATTTCTCAATGTAAAGTGAAATAAAGCCATATGGCATTATTTCCTTTGGCGGTGCACGGAATCGTCACAGCCACTTGGGCCAGTAACTTTGAAGTGGTAAATTAAAATGGCGATTACACTCTTCCGACGTTCACAAATCCATATTACGTAAGCGAGAATGTTGCCAGTTACATCGCCCGACTGCGATGTGCCAGGAATTCACGAAGTTTTCAGTTGGATAAGATGCTGAAATCGATCAAGCAACAGTCAGAAATATACACTAAGCAAAAGGGCATTGTTTTTCCGCTTCTTTGGCTGAATTGTCCTTGGAATTACGTTATTATTTTTGTATGCGTAAACACACGTCGTCATGGAAGAAAATCATGAAGCTGTATAAGAAAGATAAACCGATTTGACTTGCGCCTTTTTTTAAATCTCCTCGTCAAATAATGATGCTTTTTCTATACATTGGAATTCCTCGCACAGCTGGCCACCCAACTAATAAATTCTTTTACCGACCACAAAAGAGCCTCACTAGAAGCGGTGAAAGACGGTCCTAAGCGCAAAAGTGAAACGGGACGTAAGAGGTGTATTGTTTGCTAAAAAGAAGGGAAGGATCATCGAACAAACACATTCTGTGCCTCTTGCAAAAAATCATTTTGCTTTAAAATATGATCAAAATTGTTTTGAAATTTACCAGAAAAAATTATGTTGCAATGTATAAGCCAAAAAGTAAGAAAAAATATTTTTTTCCTAGTAAACCAACGCCTATGCAAAATTCTAATATGCCATTTATTTTTACCGCTGACGACCATAGAATTGAGATTAGGGGATCTCAGGTGTGGTCTAAGTGTGCTAACTTTTTTTGGTTTATTTTTTTAGAAAGACGAAGGCTGCCCGCAACTTTTCCGAAGGTTCTGGATTTGTAGCTCCACCTAATACAGAAATATTGTAACAAGGAAATAGGAAAAAAAGTTTAGTTTTTCGAATTTAGGGCGGCCCGGCAGGTAAAGGGAGGAATCCACCCTTAAAAATAAGGTAATTTCTGAAAGCTGCATTAATTATCTACTAAAAAATTGGTTCAACAGTTTTTCCAGGAAAAATGTATATGCAAAGGGGACACCGGTGTCCTTTTGGTCGTCAAAGGGTTAGAGTTACCTGATGGCAGTCCGAATGAAAATTCCAAAGATTGATTTCGCGTGTTGTTCTATTCGTAATAATAGTTCTAAAATTAATTGAATTTAAGACTAAAAAGATGAAAATAAAATTATTGTTTAAAATCTAAAAACTTGCTTTTATTACAATGGGAACTAAAAAGTAAAAAATAATTTATAGAAATACAGATATCGCTTAAGAGGAATAGGAAATTCCCTAACTTGATTTAATTAAACTTTTAAAACCAACCTAAAAGAGTAATTGACAATAAAATTAATTTTGCCGGAAAACAAGGCGTGGGGTGCTTCATAAATTTTATAGTCCTGCTACTGACGATATTCAATATTACAAAACTGAAAGTGAAACATTTAAAACAATTGATATCAAGCACTCCACGTTTTGTTTTCCGGTAAAATTAATCTTATTGTCAATTACTTAAATACTATTTTAGGTTGGTTTAAAGAGTTTAATTAAATCAAGTTAGGGAACTTCCTATTCCTCTTAAACGAAATCTGTATTTCTATAAATTCTTTTTTACTTTTTTGTTCACATTGTAATTAAAGCGGGTTTTTAGTTTTCTAAACTATAATTTTATTCTTACAGGAGTTCACCTTGGTCTTGAAACCTTTTGTAAGTCATCTAAATCTCTGGTACAATTTTTCATCAATTTTCCTATTGGCCAGCACTTTAAGTTCTTCGCACTCTTTCTTTTTGTTACGGAAAATGTGTCTCGCTTCCCTCTTCAGTGCCGTGTTAAAAATTGTTCGTAAAATATGAACAGTTTTCAAATTTTTTATCCACCATTTTGTGTCTGTCATTTTAAATTTGAGCCATCACAGATCTTATATGAATTAAAAATTTTCGCTGAGCGAAATCTAAATTTTCACACATATTTACTTTTCATATCTTTATAATACGAGAAAGATAAAATTTTTTTGCAAGCTCGTTAAATTATTAATGAAATAATTACCTGTTGTGTTTCTTGCTTTATTTTTGATAAGAGCTGCGTTGCCGCTGTAGTTGTTGTGATGGCTGGTATTGTTAAAGCTTCATTAGGATTGCTGGACTTTGGCATCTCGATTGTTTCGACGTGCTTCACTCGGGCATGCGAGTGTAGGGTTTCGGATTCAACTTGGTGTAAGCCGCTGCCATTATGAACACCATCACCTCCAGCATTCATTTCGGAACTACTGGACATAACTTCAATTTAATTTGATGTAGTGTGTTTTATTAATTGATTAACTCGAAATAGCACAAGGATGTTAAGAAGTTTGCTAATTCATTGCTGTAGTGCAAAAAATGTTTGGAGGTTTGTGTAGATTTAGATGTTGAATAAAGTTAGGGTTCGTTGCTCTGGCCCAGTCTTGTGTTGCATCAATACCAGTGCCTCAATGAGTATTACCTGCAAATAAAAAACACAAAAATTATAATCTACAGAAAAGACTCAAGACATCCTAGAAGTTAAAAGTAAAACTAGCTAGAGTACGGCACTCTGACTGCAGTTGAGAATCAGGATGAAATACTTGTTAGTGCCGCATAAATTTCCAGACCTCTTCCCTATTGCACCAACGAATTATCATTAGCATTTTAACAAATTATCGAACTTGAGCAAAGTTTTGTGTTTCACCAACATGATAAGGAAGAGTCACTCAAATAAGTATTGATAAGTAAAATATAACTTAAATTCATTGATAAGCGTTGCACTAAAAATTGAAATGGCTAGCGAAAAGATTTTAGCGGATAAGTGATAAGCAGGGCCGAAAAGTTTAAGCTTTTGCTTGGAATTGCTTATTTTTCTTATTTTAACGAGCATGCATATTTTGCTTATTTCAAAGTATAAAGCTAAGTACGGACTATTTAAGGAAACGGTCAATTCATCAATTAATATTATTTCGTGAGTGAATAGTAGTGTCCAAGGAGTTTTGACATCTGATATTTTACAGCCTGCTGTTTCACTTTTTCCTTCCGAAGTAATGGAACGGTCATATATTTCTGTCGAAAACAACTTTTCAGGGCGACCGGCTAGATTGGACAAAAAAAAACGTCTAAAAACGGCTAAAATGTTTCAACCAGAATTAAATTTTTTTTAAATATGTACATAAACCACAATTAGAACGACTAGTAAATCCATTGAATTTTTTTTGGTTAATAAAGATTATTTATACGTAGCTAAGCTGTACACCACTTTATTTTTGTTTAACAAAGGAAACTGTCGTTATACGTAGCTAAGCTTTACATCAGAACTCATGTTTGTATTACTTACATATAAAAACAGAGATAAATTACAAACTTATGGCGTTTTCATTTCTACTAAACAATTTTGCCTTCTTATAAATATTGGATCATTTTCAGTAGGTTGCTTTTTGTCCCGCAAAATGGCTATATTAGCTGAAAGTATGGCAATTTTGCTTAGTCGGAGGGCAATATTTTGAGAAATTAACTGGTAAAGCTGTGAATGCAGAAGGTAGTTTAATTTATTGACATTCGTTGTTGTTGCCGACCACTTCACTTTTAACAAGTTTACATTTAACTAAAATCATATGTATGTAATATATCAGCAAAAAATACAGCCGTGATAATTTTTTGTGTATCAAATAGATATTAGAACACACTTTCCACCATACAGTTTCGATTATTAAAAGCGGGAAAATGTGATTTTGTATTTCGAAACAGTATGGTGGAAAGTGTGTTCTAATATCTATTTGATACACAAAAAAATGATCACGGCTGTACTTTTTGCTGATATATTACATACATCTGTTCCATTTAGTTAAACAATATAAGAATATTGTAGTATGTACCACAAAAACGTATATTTTCTATAAAATATCATAACTCAAAAAAAAAAATCTTCGCTATTAGAGATTTGGGTTGATTGTAGTTCAAAGTGTCTCTTTCCCGGTAAAAAAGTTTGAGAGAAAAAAAATACGCTTTTTGAGAAATTAAATTTTAAAAAAAATTTGCACTTTTTGTTTATTGTTAAATGAAAAATTTTAAATAATGATAATCAATAATTATATCATTCTATCTTGAAGTGACAAGAATTACTGACATTTGAGTAAAAACATTGTTGGAATCTATTAAATTTTGACAAAGTTATGGGCATTTTAAAAAAACATTCTCACTGTCAATTCGAAAAGTCGATTTATGCCTGAAAAACAAAATCGCGTTTAATTCGGCCGAAAAATTTTTCCGAGGCAAAAGAAAAAATACGTGTCTCATTATTTGGACCAACAAACAATGTATTTGAGTTTGGTCGAAATTAAAAATCATGCTCGTACCTGACCGGTTGTCTGGAAATGGAAAGCATCATAACAAAAATTTTATGAAGGAAATTCCCGCTGCGTTCTCCCAAATATAAACTGGGACGCAAAATTGAAGCAAGTTTTGCCTATTTTTCATTAGTTTATTTAATATGTATTATTTTTTATGAATATGTTGCTCATTACTTAACAAACAAAATATACTACAAACAGATTTCACACTTAGTGTAAAAATTATGAAAATTCTGCAAAATTTCAGCAAAACTTGTAACTTCTTAATCTGCTAAAATGACGCGTCCCAGTTTATGTGTATTTTGGTCACTCGCTTAAAACAAAAAACATTGAAATCGGCTCACTTTCTGATTGTTTTTCAATTTTATATAACACAGTCTGACATGAAAATTTTCTCAGAGGTAAGACTAGCCATTTCTAATAGATTTTGGAGCACTAAATTTGTAAAAATAAAACCTTGTATATTTGAATTTTAATAAAATAAGGCGAAGAGAAAAATCGGCTAAAAACGGCTAATTTTTTGCAAAACGGCTAACAAATCGGCTGCCGGCTAAATCGAATTTTTCCCGGCTGTTTGCTGTCGCAACCGGCTAAATCTAGCCGGAAAACGGCTAAAATGGCAACGCTGGTACCTTGTACTCTTCACAAACAAACTTTAGCAAACCATAGTAGAAAGCGTAGAAAATTTCCTAAGAACTTCATACTGCTTAAGAAAATTTGGCTTAATAAATTTTTCTTGACCATTTCTTTGGCGTTTTTTTATTCTTCGAAATGTTTACAAATAATAACATAAAAACATATTTGGTTTTTATTAACCCTTAACTTCAATTGCATTTCTGCTTGGGTAAAAAAATTTTAAATTTGGTTTATCTCTACGGAAAGGCATTGGTGTTATTGAAAAGATTAAAAACAATTCATCTCAAGTGAAGAATAACGAATACTTAAAAAAGTTAAAATGAGATCTCTATTATTTGAGAATATCTGGCAACACTTGATTGTTCATTGTAATTTTCCAATCCTTGAAATAAACTAAATAAAAAACATTAAACTGTACGCTAAATTTTGTTGTTTTGCGAGCATATTTGCAAGCATATTTACCAATCTTTTAGTACTTATCTGAGCGCTTAAAATTGATTTTTTTCTTGCTTATTTTCTTCGGCCCTGATAATAAATGATTCTCTGTATTTATAGGCATATTTAATGAAAATCACGAATTTACTCCATGTCTCACTTTCAGCGCTTAAGACATTAATCAATTCTGCTGCTAATGCAGATTTTCCAAAAAATTTTATTCTATACTCTCTTAGTATTGTGCAGCGCGCCAAAAAGTGTGCTATATTTTCTAATTCTCCAGTATTACACATGGAGCAAGTTTTGTTTCCTTTACCGAACTTATTATTATTTAAAATTAGCAAATCACTCCCAGCTCTCATTATCCACATGCTTAAATCTATACCATATTTATACCTTTCATGAGCATGAAATAGTATTATAACTTTGGTCCGATGTTTGTAAGTACCAGAATAAGAAGACCCATTAAAATGTATAGTTAAATGATCAGAACGGCGATCTGAGTCGATTTAGCCATGTCCGTCTGTCTGTCTGTCTGTCCGTCTGTTTGTATGCAATCTAGTCTCTCAGTTTTCGAGATATCCAGATAAAATTTGGTAGGTGGGTGTATTTTTATAATGTATTAATCACTTTTCGGAACCGGAAGAATCGGACAACTATAACATATAGCTCCCATACAACCGATTGTTCAGATATGCGATTTTTCGTTATAACTCCCCCATTTATGCAGCTAAGAACATGAAATTTTGCAATACTTCCACCCATTATCAGCAGAATATGTACAGTGAAAATTACAAAGATCGGGTGACTATAACCTATAGCTCCCATACAACTGATTGTTCAGATATAAAATTTTTCGTTATAAGTCCTCCACTTACGTAGCTAGGAACATGAAATTTTACACTGTTGTTACTCACTATGGAAAGAATACTTACAGTGAAAATGGCGAAGATCGTGTCGCTATAACCTATAGCCTTCATAGAACTGATTGTTCAGATATGAGATTTTTTGTTATAACTCCTCCGCTTATGCAGCTAGGAACATTAAATTTAGCAATACTTCCACTCATTATCAACAGAACTCTTAGAGTGAAAATTAAAAAGATCAGGTCACTAGAACCTATAGCTCCCATACAACTGATTGTTCAGATATAAGATTTTTCGTTATAACTCCTCCATTTAAGTAGCTAGGAACATGCAATTTTACACGGTTATCACTCATTATCAAAAGAATACTTTCATACTGATTGTTCAGGTATTGGGTTTTACTGTAAAACTCTTTTATTTGGACAGATAAAACCGATAAATTTCGTAAGCTATTTTATAAATAATAATACAAAGTTTACTGAGAAAATCGTTAAAATCTATGCTGTATAAGCTTTATCTCTTGCACCACCGATTGTTCAGTTACCAGTTTTTGCGATCTGTTAAATTAAAATTTTCAGACGTTCATGAAAGGTGTGAGGCCTTCGGCATAGCCGAAGACAGCGCTGCTCTTACTTGTTTTTTAGATAAATCTGCCCTCTCTACTAGAGGTTTACGCCGACAGGCCTTGCGGCGGCGGCGTGGTCAACTTCAAAAAGAATCGGTGGCAGCGGCGACGCCGGCGCGTCTGGAAACGCCGGCGCTACTGTAGCTGTATTTTTTAATTTAGAATTCATACAACTTCCGAATGAGGGATTTCGCTGTAACATTCTACTTTGCGCCTCGGTCTGGCGCTGTTTGAGCTGTAGAACATCTCAACGAAGCTTTCCGCTTTACCTTTTGTACGAAAAACTGCGATCTCCGTACGGAAAATCTTCGGATCTCGCAAAAACGCACTGAGGACCTTCCGAGCACTGTTTCTATCACTTTGACCATGCTAACCCCCGCTCCCTGGTTTTCTCGTAACTGTCAGGCCTTATTTGTACCGATTAAAACCCTGCAAACTGTCGAATAGTGCACTCTTTAATTTTTTAGCAATTTTACGTGTACTGAAGGCCGGATCATTTATAAACTCGTGCAAAATGGTTTGTCTCGTTTCTAGCTCGGTTGCCATTTTTAACTCAACT